CCCAGGGCCCCCGGGCGGAAGCCTACCAGCTGCCAGCGCGGTGCCGGCACGGACGGGCGGCCCCAGCGCAGGTACAGCTGCACTACCTGCGGGGGGCGGGGAGGAGGAGTCAGGAGCTGGGGGCAGCAGGAAGCCACCCTGCTCAGCCCTTGCAAGGGCAGCGTCACAGCCCCAGGGCAGCCAGGCCAGCACCATGCCCCCACCTGCTCTCACCCAGCACCCAGAGGCCATCTCCCACTCTGGGCACCACCTGGCACCACCACCCCTCTGGCCATGTGCCCCAGAGCCCGGGAGGCAACGTGGGGGGACCCCACCCAGTGACAGGGAGCCCAGGCACCACCCCACCCCCACCAACCTTGCAGCAATGTGGCCCTCTCCCCACATTGTGCCATGAATGCCCAGTGGCGCTCACCTCCTCACCATCCCGTGGCCCCCTGTTCTCCAGCACCACGGAGACGCTGAGGTTGGCACAGACAGGTAGGGTGGGGGGATCCAGGACCAGGTCCCGGTAGTGGAAGGAGGTGTAGGACAAGCCATAGCCAAAGGGGTAGAGCGGGGGCTCTGGCCCATAGTACCGGTACGTTCGCCCCACCATGGTGTAGTTCTCCATCGCTGGCACCTGCAGCCATGGGGCAGGTGAGGTCAGCCACAACCCCTGGCAACATGCTAGGCCAGGCCAAGGTGGCCCACCCAGGGGCCCACTGGCTGCAGGCATGTGGGGGGCATGGGGCTGGTCCCTGGCAGGGTCTGCACTAGGCTGTGCTGGCCATGGGCAACACCCCACTGCTACAGTGTGAGGCAGCCATGGCCCAGGGGGTGAGTGCCCTGGGGAGATCCTGAGCGATGTTGAGCCCAGCAGCAGGGCCAGGCCCATCGGTCTCACCTGGTGCATGCCAGCTGGCCATGTGGCTGGGAGCCGCCCTGCCGGGTTGGCCCCATCCTGGCCCAGCAGCACCTTGGTGACAGCAGTGCCAGCTGCCTGTGCTGGAAAGAAGCAGGCAAGGATGGCGTGCACACTGGGGTGGGTCTGGGCCCAGCTCACATCCAAGGGCCCGGCGTTGAAGAGCAGCAGGATGACGGGGCGTCCGGCAGCTGCAGGGATGATGGGAAAGAGGGGTGTCACATGATCTGGACGCTCCCTGCAACAGGGCCCAGGGACTCTGGGCTCAGCACAGACCCCTGTCCCTGCATGGGCTGGGTTGAGCAGGGCAGCACTAGGCAGCACCCCAAGCGCAGTCCCCTCCAGGCTCTGGGTGAATTGCACATCACCAAGGCCTCAGTCCCTGCAGGTTACCCTCCCTGCCCCTCCAGGGTCCTGGGAAGCCCCTGGTGGACAAAGCAGAGGCCCTTCCCCACTGGCCTGCCCCCCCTGGAGGCTGGGAGTGCCCCTAGGACAGGGGCAGGCAATTATTTTGGGCAGAGGGCCGCTTACTGAGTTTTGGCAAGCCATCGAGGGCTGAAGTAACAGAAAGCCCAGGGCACATTAATATTAATTTTCTAAAATTTTTAGGGGCCCGGTGGGCCAGATAGAATGGCCTGGTGGGCTGCATCCGGCCCCCGGGCCGCATTTTGCCCACCCCTGCCCTAGGAGCTTCAGCATTCTCCCTGCTCCCTTCCCCGTGCTGCCTCACCCTCGGCCACTGCGTCCTGCAGCAGCTGCAGCTGGTGCCCAGGCAGAGCCAGGTCCCTCCGGTCTTTCATCTCCGACTCCATGTTAATCCCTGGCAGAAACAGCTGAGGCTGTCAGCTGTCCCCTGCTGCCCCAGGCGCCCTGAGACCAGGCTGGGCAGAGCCTCTGGAAACAGCAGGATAGCCCTGGCCCCAGCCCCTACCACAGGCCCCTCCTGTGAAGGCATGAGGGGCCTGGCCTCTTAGCAGAGGCTCCAAGTCTGGCAACCTGTGGACCTCATCCTGGCCAAAGTTTCCTGGGGCTGAGAGCCGCAAGCCACAGAGGAGCTGCCTGTAAGCTGCACCCCCACCCCATGCCCACCTCTAGGGACAGAGGTCCCATCTATTGCACCTCCAGTACCTGTGCCCAGGCACACAATGACAATGTTGGCCCCCCGCACGGCTGCCTTCACCTCAGTGGGCACGTAGTGTAGGCACTGTGGTTTACGACAGCCAGCCGCAAAGCTGACATTGGCTGGCAGTGCCTCCAGGCCCCTCCTGCGTGGCATGGGAAGGACATGTACTGTGTTGCCTGGCCCTGGCCCTGGCCCTGGCAGTGGAGGGAAGGGGCATGGCCAGGAGCAGGAGCCAGGCAGTTTTTCAAACCATGGTGTCCACCCTGCATGACCCCTGCCCTAGCCAGACCTGCCCTGGGGGTGGTTGCAAAGCAGGGGGCAGCCTATGCCCTATGTGGGAGTGACGATGTACCGGGGGTCTGGGACGGGCGCATAGTCCCCAAACAGGACATGGGGGCTGTCAGCGAAGGGGCCGACCACCTGTGGAGAGAAGGAGAGTGGCAGGGAGGCTGCCTGCTTTGCCACGGGGCCCCCACACAGGGGAGTGCAGACTGGGGAGCACCAGGCACTGGCCACAGGATGTGCTGGCTGCACAGGGGCCAGGATGGGGATCATAGGGGACAGGCGGCACTGTCCGGCAGTCTGAATGGGGTTCGGGGCACCACTCTCTCTACTCTGCCCTTGTGGTGTCTGCCCATGGCCACAGGGAGCAGTGCATGCCCTGTGGGAGGGACTGAGGGTGCCCAGGGATCAGGCAGCCCCTGGTCCCCCGGCTCCTGGATCTCCCATGTGTGTCTGTGTGGGGGGTACTCACAGCAATGCGCCCGCCTGCCAGGTCCTGGGCCCGCAGGGGCAGCGTGTCCTCCACATTCTTCAGCAGCACCAGGGTCTTGATGGCAGCCTCCAGTGCCAGGGCCTGGTGGGCTGGGCTCTGCACGGTGTCCATGCCCAGTGCATGGTATGGGTTCATCTCAGGTGGGTCAAACTCCCCCAGCCGCAGACGTGTGTAGAAGAGTGGCCGCACTCGCGCCTTCACTGTCTGCAAGAACCCAGGGGCTCAGCTAGGGGCAACCACAGCTCCTCCTCACCCAGGGCCCCCTGGCCCCAGCTTGGTGCCTGGAGCAGCCTGAGGCCCCTGCCCCCAGGGCAGCCAGCACCTGGCACATCCTTGGTGCCATGCCTTCTGCTGGCACCACCTCTGCCCCATGGCTCCCACCTCCATGGTGATGTTGCCCTGGGCCACGGCCTCTGGTATGAGGGTGAAGATGTTCTTCCGCAGGCCGTAGGACAGCTCCAGGTTGAGGCCAGCATTCACTGCGGCTGCACAGTAGGAGGAAAGCAACACATCAGTCACCTAGGGCCCCCGTGAGCTCAGGCACCTGTGCAGCTCTTGTCTGGAGGTTCAAAGCCCTTCCCAGGGCTCCTGAGCCCTTGGAGGCTTATGGGGGAGGAGAGGTGGATCCCTGCCCCTGGGGAAACTGGGGCACTGAGCAGGGCGACATCTGTGCCAGGTGGTGATAGCTGGGGATGGGGCCCAGGCAACAACCCAGGCCACAGCCCACTACCTGGCCTCTGCTGCCCTGCGAGCCACTTCATGCCGACCTGCTCTCCCTGGGAACAGGCAGCAGCAGGAGCTGGAGCAGCAGGGCCCCTGGGACAGCCCCCGACTCCAGCTCACCGACAGCCGTCTCCAGGAAGCTGTGTGTGTAGTGGTGCCCCAGCAGGATCAGCTCCACGGCACCCTCGTCGCTCACCACATAGCCCTGGAAGCCCCACTCCTCACGCAGGATCCCCATCAGCAGCTGCTCATGGGCACAGGCCGGTACCCCGTTGATCCTGGGGGAGGGCGGGTCAGTGTTGAGCCACTGGGGGCAGCTCTGTCCCAGCACAGGACAGCGTCTGCCGGGCCATGGCCCCATCCCCGAATCTGCCCAGCCTCCCTCCTCCCCCGTGGGGGCAGCTTGTCCCCAGCACAGGACAGCGTCTGCCGGGCCATGGCCCCATCCCAGAATCTGCCAAGCCTCCCTCCTCCCCAGCCAAGCCCCGCTGGCACCTGTTGTAGCTGCACATGAAGCTGTAGGAGCCGGCACGGACACAGGCCTCGAACTGGGGCAGAAAGGTTGTTCTCCAGTCCAGCTCCCCCACCTGCAGGATGCCAGGGGGAGCAGCCTGGTCAATGTGGTCAGCCCTGCTGGCCCCTGGCCCTGGCCCAACAGCTCCCTAGTGCCACCCCTCCCCAGCCTGGCCTTGCCTGTCTGGACCCCCCCCCTCACCTTGGCGTCAAAGCTGTAGCGGGACACAGGCAAGTTCTCAGGCCCCCCATGCACGCTGAAGTGCTTGCAGCCTGCGCTTGCCTTGATGTACCGTGGGTGGGGGCCCTGCAGCCCCTGCACAAAACTTGCCCCCAACTCTGCACTCAGGAATGGGTCCTCCCCGTATGTCTCCTGCGGGATAGACAGGACACGTCCCTGTTATAGCCCTGTGGCCAGGACCTTCACTGGGGCTCCTGCCCCCGCACCCCACTCCTTGCTGCTGCTGCAGCTGGGACCCCGGGCCATGTGGCCCTCACCTGGTTGCGGCCCCAGAGCGGGTGACGCATGATGTTGAGCACGGGGCTGAAGCAGCTGAGGCCTGTGTGGTCACTGTATTTGCCCATGGCCATGAAATGGGTGTGCTTGGCTCTCACCTCAGTGGCTGTGGCATTGGCCACACGGTAGATCAGCTCCGGGCTGTGGGGCAAGGGGCACAGCTGAGGTGCCGGGGGCGGGGGGGGGCAGGCAGGGGGAGACCCAGAGCTAGCCTCTCCCCACCCCACAGAACCACAGCAGCTGCCCTGGAGAAGGGCAGGGGCAGAGCCAGCCTCCAGGCAAGGTACTGCCTGCCTAGCCCCCAGCCCTACCTGAAGGAGGCGGCCAGCCCCAGGGCCTGGGGGAAGGCAGTGGCCCAGCCGGGGGCCTCCCCATCGCCCCGCAGGCACTCCGTGTTCCAGTTGTAGGGCTGGATGCCCAGCCGCTCGATGCCCGGTGCTGGCCCGTTGCCCCCAGCACCACCTCTTGCCATCTGTGGGGCGGATGTGGGTGGGCATGGGGCAGCACGGGCTGTGGGCACCCTGTGACCTGCCCCACACGAGAGACGGGGCAGAGCCAGCAGGGGCAGCCAGCTCCTTCCAGACCCTGGCTGTGCATCCCACCAGGGTCCACAAGCTACCATGGCCCAACTCCTGCCCAGCCCCCTCCGCAGGATGCCCCAGTCTGCTGAAGGGCCAGGGGCCTCTCGGGACCCCCTGCCCACGAGCCCCCCACCCCACCTGCAGCACCATCTCCTCCAGGCTCAGCCGGCCCACGAGGTCGTCCAGCCGCTGGTCCCAAGGCAGGGAAGGGTCCTGGAAGGGGAACTGCTGCCCCAGGCCCAGGCCCAGGCCCACCCAGAGGAGCAGGGCCGCGGCGCGGGGCTGGGCCATGCTCACGGGACCCCGGACAGATCACGGGCTGGACAGAGGGAGAGAAACGGGCCCTGTCGGGTGGCGCCGAGCGGGGCCGCCCCTGCCCAGGCTGGGCCGCAGCTAGCTCTGGGCAGGGCAGGGCAGGGCGTGGGCGGCACAGCCCCCGCACCAAGCAGCGCGGAGCGGCGGG